TGTAGTTAGGTCGAAAATGTAGTCACATTCCTATCCGTTAGGGCGTAGGTATCATGGCAGCCATGAATTTATCAGCTGTTTTTTTTGTTTACACATATTTTATTCTTAAATACGCATTAATTAAATCAGACAAAAATTTCTTTTGTTAATTTCTGACCTGTCCCTATACTCTCATTCATAACAATACATCCCCTATATCCTACAATGTGTAGGCTGTTAGACCTTAAAACACAAGACACAAGCACGAATTGAAGCGTGCCATTTGTTAGTACTTTTCGAGTGCATAGAAAGCCTTTTGAATGAAAGAGTTGATTAATTTTCCTTTTTTTATTAACTTCTGGCATCTTACAACTTAACACAAAACAAAACCAAAACAAACAACAAGCCTTCAAGGACTGTTATAGCTTTATTTTTGGTTCTAATCACCTCGGGCAGCATTGCGCGCTATTTGAGTTAACATCTTACAATCATCGTGAATACCCCTATAGTCCAAATCTCATAAAAAATTACAAGGGTATCGCCTTGAATCATCAAAAAATTCCAAGAGCAGTAGTATTTCTTCTTCCACAGATCGAGAACTCACTCCTAAACTCACTCATAACTAAAATAAACCTAACATTGATTATATAAAAATCAGATTTTAACTAACGCAATAAAAATTCTAATGGATCCATAGTAACGTAGATTTAAGCAAACTCAATTATCTTCTATTCAGAAGTGTATACACGTAAATGTTTTCTTCTGACAACCTCAGACCGTGACCATTTGCGGTTACGCGGCTCCATGAGATTCGGCATAAACAACCCACATAGCTGGTATTATTAAACGGGTCTCCGGGAAGCTAAGGACAAGGACAGGTATGCTGGAAGGGCCGTCTTCTAATTAATCGGCCTATACACTTGTTGCATCCACCTGGAACCACCTCAGGCCTGTTTGACACAACCGCTACAGCATGTTTGAAAATGAATCCATAGGAAAATTTGCCTGGGCTAGCATTGTTTCGATGAAATATTCATTAAGTGACTGTAAATCGTAGATGTTTAACAACTTGAGACAGAAACACTGTAATGGCAAATAACATCGTAAACTGAGCGAGGAGGTTCGTGTTATTAATGTTTATGTTGTTCTTGATCCTTTTCACCCAATGGGAATCAACAACCGTAAATGTTCTTAAGCCCTTGGGATTTCTCACAGTTTTCCCAGTTCCTAACTTATTCTAGTGCTCTTCAAACTCCAAGTCCGTTTCATCAATATTACCACCATTTTTTTGTAAATTATAGATCAGACAGATAAATCTCAAGAGAATAAATACTGTTCAGCCTTATTTATCATTTTTTAATATCTTTTTTTATTTTTACGGAGTTTCACAAGACAGAGGTAACTCAAGGTAAAAAAACATGACCTTTAGGGCCGCTGAGATTCGAACTTAATAGCTTATAGATGAATCGATGTGCCACTTCACTCGTTTTTTTTTGTTGTTTTTTTCAATATAAATGTTTGAATCTTTCATAATGTATGAAAGTTTAACGATAGCACTGGTAATACTAAGGAATGATCTTCTAGATCACATAGTAATCATAAATTATCTGATAGTGATGGCAAAATCAAAATTTATTTGCTTCAGCCCCGTCTGACTATTAGATTTAATTGTTTCTGAAGGGGACGTAATCAAGTAGTATGTGCCAATTGTTTTACCGTCGAACAAAAAAGTCATATAAAAATATTCGGACTAATTATCGACGAGACATTAAAATGGCATGCTAATATTGATAAGGTTTATAGAAATGATAAATGATGGAGTGAGTGTGGTGTTCAATACTTTTTAAAAGGGTAGTTCCTACTCACAGTAAGTTGTTTTGCAACGATCCGGATTTCGAGCCTTTTAGCTCATCATCAGGTTGAAGGACTTCTACAACCACGTCTCTCGACATGAATTGCCAAAGTGAAACCGCTGATACCTCCGCCAACGCGACGTTCCAATTAGCAGCTGATTTTTTTTTTTTTTAATGGCGCTCAATTTGAACGAGCGAAACGCGGAAATTATAACACAAATAAATATTAGAATAATAAATACTTAATATTACTATAAATTACTATAAAAATAATAACAATTAAAATAATTAGTTTAATTATTTGGATGTTTGATATTATTTATGTACATATTTAAAATGGGAGGTAGATCAAAATCTGTTATATTTATCATTTATCACCATGTTCAATTTTACATTTTTTAATTTCAAATTTCTCAAACCAATCTAATTCTTTCCCTTTGTTGAAACTATGTAACAATCTTGTATTTAAATTTGAATTGAAATTATGTTTTGTTTCTTTTAGATGGTCCTTAAATTCCGAAAATTTGCTCAATTTAGGCAAGTGTTCTTTTACTCTTGTTTTTATTTCTCTACCGCTTTGTCGTATATATTTAACATCACAATCATTAAACCCCACTTTTTGCCAATTTGTCTACTTTGTCTTTAGGTTTTTTGAGGATGTTTTTAAGTGAACCCGTACTTCTAAAAGCTATTCTAAAACCTTCTTCTTTAAAGATTTTACTAACTTTTTCCGATAATTCACCAATGTATGGCAAACAACGGAAACCTACTGATTCATTTGTGGTGGGGTGACTAAGTCCTATTGTTGATTCGTTTAAAGTTAATTTTTTTATTCATTTAACTAGCAACCTATCAATAAATATTTCTTGGTACCTTCTATTCAGTTTGGGCTGAGACAAATTTATTTTTTGCGGAACAAATTTGAAAGTTGTTTTCTATTAAAGGTCTACTATGCCCTCACATTTCTCGAACGGACTGGTCTGCTGGGGAGGTGTATATGTCAATGTGAAAATCAGGTAGTCAAATGACAAAAAAAAAATTGTTAGCTTTTTCTTGCAAGGGGAGAATATAACGTTCCTTCCAATAAAAAAATACAATAGGGTTATTAACGATGTTTGCCAAATGTTAACTCGTGTTAACACGAATAGAGAAATGTCTAGTAAGATCGTGAAGTACCTTCTTTTCTTAGCAAGTTAAACGTTAATTTTTCCGCAATGCTGAGCGTGGCGATTGGTAAAACCAAAAATAAAGCTATAACAGTCCTTGAAGGCTTGTTGTTTGTTATGGTTTTATTCTGTGTTAAATTGTAAGATACAAGAAGTTAATAAAAAAGGAAAATTAATCAACTCTGTCATACAATCTATGCACTCAAAAAGTACTAACAAATGACAAGTTTCAATTCGTGCCAGCATACTTAACTTCTATCTTAACGTCTAACAGCCTACAAGTTTATAGGATAGGGGATGTATCTATTAAGAATGAGAGTATAAGGATAGTCAGAAATTAACAAAAGAAATGTATTGGTCTGATTTAATTAATGCATATTTAAGAATAAAAATACAACTGTAAACACACACAGCTGTTAAATTCATGGCTGCCATGTTGATTACCTATGCCCTAACGGATAACAATGTGACTACATTTTCGGCCTAACATCTAACATTGGCCCTGGATTGTTAGATCGAGCAATGTTAACTAGCCGATTCTTACAAGTCTACGTCATCATTTTTCTCAATCTAACAAGACATAACAAAGTTAACAGGGTTATCACAAAGATCGATTTTACTAGTACATTACCTTTATGTAAATAGTTTTAAGGAACTTTCTAACTGAGGAAAAAATAAAAGGGATATATGTAAAATTTTAAATTCTAAATTGAGGAACCAAATGCAATATGCTAAAAGGTTTCTTGTACAATGGGCTCATAAAGTTCCAGAAGGGTTAACATGAGATGACCGACCTGCTGCTGAACAACGGGGAAAAAGGATCTACGCTTAGGTCACAACAAAAATATATTTTCCTATAATAAATAGGCCCTGATGATCGTCGAAAGCTCGGCAATTGTCGTTATGTTGTGACCTCACCGAAGATCCTTTTTCCACGTTGTTCCAGAATGGTTTAAAGAAAAATTCAAAACAAATTAAACAAAGGCTTTTCATGCAACAAAAGTCTCCTATTGAATAATACAGCTTGGCACAACTCCTTATTTAAGTAAACTCAGCTCTATTGGTTCAGGTACAAGAAAATTGTAGTTTTATAAATTAACTTTTCGTTCAAACACGTATTAGTGACCGTTAGCCAATGATTATTTGGGGATCGTGAGGTGCGGTCTGGTGTGACGTAGGTTTTAGAAAAACGTTTCCTTTATCTTCCAACGTTTCGATTTTTACTGAGATCATCTTCAGGGCCTGGGATTTATACACATTGTTTGAATTTTTCAAACACTTGTACCATTGTATAAATTCAATTTTTTTCTACATCCTACATGTTTTTGTAAAATTCGAACTATGTTTATTAAAACCAGGCCCTGAAGATGATCTCAATAAATGTCGAAACGTTGGCATGATAAAGAAAATGATTTTCGAAAACCTACGTCACACCAGACCGCACCTCACACTCTCCAAATTATTAGTTTTTATCTATTTTCATCTCGATGTATATAGTCATCTGTTTTTCTACTGTATAAAAAAATAAAGTTGGTGAAAAACCATTATAAACCATTTTTCGATCATTATTTTTAGTAGATTTTAGGCAGACTATTGCACTATAGTTTACTAGCGAAAATCAATCAGTAAATATTCTTGATTTCTTTAAGTACCTTTCTTGTTGAAATACAAGTTATAAAATACACGCAAGACAAGTTTAAAATGTAATATTTTATGTTTGACACGAAAAAGCGAGAGCTAAAGGGACACAAAGCGAACGATCCCAGTGTTGATTAAGAAAATGATTCAATTTCAAAACGGGAACCTTAAATCAAACCACGAGTTTTGAACAATAACTTGAATCAACAGCATTTGCATTTCGAAAGGGTTTCAATCCTGTACAGGAAGCCGGGTATCTCCCAAGCGAGTTGGTGTTAGTAATGAAGAAGGACAAGCGGCAATCACTGTCGACGCGGTTACAAATTGAAGTGTCGAGCTCGGATTCCCTGGGGACTTCGCTTACCTTCGAGCTGTGAAGCGGATGCGGCCAGGAATAACGCACTGAAGACGAGCAGCCGGAAATCCAGGCCCGTCATCTTGTCGAGAGAGGTATTTCCGATTTCTAGCCAGGTATCATGCCATCACACAAAGCCCTGAAAACAAAAACAAAACATTTTATTCCACTTATAAACCACTGCATAAAGTTTGCACTATATTTATTTCGTCCTACTTACGACATATTTAAGCATGTAAATAATAAGCCTTAATATTTTTCTATATATGTTTACAGGTCGTAATTTACTAATCAAGATTTTAGATTTTTAAAAAACAACAATTAATAGAAATACTTAATATTTTTGCTGATTAATTCCAAATCTGAAGCACGATTTTAAAAATTCAACATTGACAGTTATGTCCGGTGATCATCTACAGTTGGTTACACATGGGTAATCTTTCTTGCGGCTGTCGTTCTTTCACGTTTTTTACTCACCCTAGCCTTTTTCTAGGACCCAATGAATATTTGTGGGACAGCCACAGGTATCTAGGTTCCAATAGAAACTAAGCTTAAATAACACTCTTTTCTATATTCATTTAATTCAGCTCGAAACTGTACTTATCTGATACCATTCTAGTTTTTATTTCCTTTGCGATCAAACCATCACCTGAGTGTAATAAACATGCAGGCATGACCTACAGAAAGACCCCCTAAAGTGCACAATTGAGACAGATTAAACTACAAGTATGTTGGTAAATTCCTCCTCTTACAGGAAAACAATAATTATTAAAACACGTCTTACATCCACAAGCCATTAAAAAAACATTGATTTTTATGTGTGGTTATTACTGACCGTTTGTCGATGATTATTCGGAAATCGTGAGATGCGGTCTGGTGTAATGTAGTTTTCAGAAAAATGTTTTCTTTATCGGGCCAACGTTTCGATCTTTAGAGATCATCTTCAGAGCCTGGGATTTACAAACTTTGTTTAAATTTAACAAAAACATGTAGGATGTGGAAAAACGTGAATTTATACAATGCAACAAAATTTTTTTTATGTTCAATCAAAGTATTCTTACTCACCCAACGTGTCTATTTTCTGCGTGAGTAGAAATACTTTGATTGAATATAAAAAAAAGTTTTTTTTTGCATTCACTTGTATAAATTCACTTTTATCCACATCCTACATGTTTTTGTTAAATTTAAAGAATGTTTATAAATCCCAGGCCCTGAAGATGATCTCATTAAAGATCGAAACGTTGGCCCGATAAAAAAAATGTTTTTCTGAAACCTACATCCCACCAGACCGCATCTCACGATTTCTGAATAATTTATTTTTATAAAACACCCATTATAGCCCTTCAAATGTTTTAAAGCTATAATTTTTTTAAGTATGTATCAACATTAGTACTTTAATTAATATTTTATGTAAGGTTTTGGTTGAAATGAAAAAGTTAGAGCAACGAGCGGGATTCGAACCCACGACCTTCCGGTAAATACAACTACTGCTCTACCACTTCAGCTATTTAGCCGAAGGTCGTGGGTTCGAATCCCCCTCGAGGCACTAACTTTTTCATTTCAACCAAAACCTTACGTAAAAAGATTAATTAATTGAAAAAACTAATTTGTTCAATAGACCAGTAGATATAATGGAGTTTGTAGTTTAAATAAATTTACAATTAAAAAAGTATCAACTCAATAAAAAATACATAAAACACATTTCTTGTAATAATTATGTACACATACCTCCTATCAATGATAGATGAAATAATTTGTAATTCGGTGCTTTTAGAAGTACATAATGCCATTCTGATAATTAATATGAGAATAGTTCATTATCCGTAAGATGAAAAAGCCACCTGCATTATTAAATTACATAAATAGCGCAGTCGCAAACTTTCGCAAAATAAAATATTTTTTTCGGTAACAATCTAATAAAAAAAAACCTAATTTACTACGAAATGCAATTACGTATTTTGTTTAACGTTTATTTTAATGGGAATGCTCGAATTTGCTCGCGCACGTTTTTTTGGTTTTTCCCTGCAAGACACAAAGTTAATAATTAATTTGCACCCTCGCCAAGTCTCGAATACGAATTTAAGGGTAATTTAAAACTATTGTGAGATTGTTTGCCTTTTGAAATTCAATTAAAAGAAAATGCAAATAAACTTAAAAATTGAACTAAAACACCTATATAACTATATGAAATAAAAATGTGAAATGTACCTTATAATTAAAATGACAACAAAGACGTAACATTACATGCGCTAAAAACCTTAAAATATACCATATAATTTGAAATAAAAACATTAAAATACACAGGCTGAATGTCAGAGACATTACCCGGTTAATGATTTAACTATTTTTTAACAATTAATTAATCTTTATGTAAGGTATTGGTTGAAATGAAAAAGTCAGTGTCACGAGCAGGATTCGAACTCACGACCTTCGGCTAATACGCCGCTGCTCCAACACTTGAGCTATCGTGATTTCGGACACTTCCTATCTCAACCTACCTTTCGAATTTTCCCTCCTTTTTTTTAAATTAATTGATTTTTTAATTTTGTGTTTTTAACCTAGTCATATTATTTTTAGTCTGGAACCTACTCATTTTAAAAATGTACACATTTGAATCACCCTGATCGAGTCGAAAAAAAGAATATGTACGTGAATATAGATCAGCAGCTTAGAACTCAATGATCTACACGTTCTGGATAAATGTGTCATATGGAAATAATATAGAATTTCATATAAAAATAAAACATTGGAAAAGTTTTGGTTAGTTTCATAAGTATTTTTATCGTTTATAATAATTATGAAATCAAATCTTTTTTTTTTTTCAAACATACTGAGGAAGAAAAATTGTAAATGCCGTGTAATTTGGACCAAATCCAAAGGTCTTAAATATTTTTCAGTGGAACTTCGGACATCAGCGAAAAAATAAAACATTTCAGAAGTTTTGGTTAGTTTCATACGTATTTTTATCGTTCTTAATAATTATAAAATCAATTTTTTTTTTCAAACATACTGAGGAAGAATGATTGTAAATGTCGTGTAATTTGAACCAAATCCAAAGGTCTTACGTATTTTTCATTGGAACTCCGGATATCAGCGAAAAAACAAAAATTCCCCGTCAAATTAAGCCAAAAATAACTATTTTCTATAACGGTGAAAATTCGTATTAAAGGTGCTTAAAAAGAACCCGATGTTTTCATCAACAAAAATGGTTTCGGCCTGCTTTATTGGTAGTGTCTTTTGGTTTTGTAACTTTTTATGAATCTAATCTCATTTAATATTTATTTTTATCTTACGTAAAAAAACTAATCGACTGATATATATATGTAATAACTTAGATGTCGTTCAGGTAGTTGACCGTCCGTAAAAAATTTTAGTTCTTTTCGGGTTTTGTTTTGCCATAACTACAATCATTATTGTTTTCCATTTCTAATTTATTAATTAATTTTGTAAGAATTGGTCTTTCAAACTTTTAGTGATTTATATCAATCATTTATCAATTGTCATCAATATTGTCTTTCGTCAACTTCCTTCTTGAAGCTCACAATGAGGGTAACTCCATCGTAACAACCATGCGTGGTGTTTAGTAACCGTTAGTCTATGGTGGATGGTAGGTTTCAGAAAAACATTTTCTTTATCGTGCCAACGTTTCGATATTTATTGAGATCATCTTCATGAGCTGCGATTTACAAACAATTATAATGTTACAAGCGATTACAATGTTTGTAAATCCCAGGGTCTGAAGATGATCTCAATAAAGGTGGAAGATGCAATTGAGACGACTAGGTCTTATCTTGAAAATAGAAACCAGGTAGTAAAAAGTAATGAACATGTTTCGTCCTGAAGTTGTATTCAGCCGAGTAGGCGGTTGAAACGAGGAACCGAGATATTTCAAGGTTTAGGTTGTCGTTTATTGAGGAATCGTCCAGACTCCGTTCTCCCGATCGCCAAGGCCTGAGTTTGAAAACGGTGAGAAGTACCTGTTATGGTGAACACCGTCGCGAACAAAAAGAAAAACATAAAACCGGCAATAGGCCAAAAAAGACCAATTTTCGTCTAAGTGCAATATACCAACATGAGTAGCTCAGGGTTCTATACTCGCAATTGTATATTATTTTTACAAATGTTCTTGACAAGTACTTCTCAACAGTTCAATTCGCTGTGTTTACTGATGATACTACTTCTCAATTAAAAGAAGCACAAAACAGAGGTTATTAAGTTAAATGATAAATTAAAATCTGATCTGGAAAAGTGGTGACGGGAAATGGTCTGTAGTTAACTAAAGAAAAGTCTGAGTTTTTGAAGTTTTTTTTTGCGTAATTCGAACATAAAAATCAGTTTATGACGCACTTAGGGGTGTATGCTGATCCATATCTCATTTGGGCAATGCATTTCAGATTCCTAGCATCTAATAATTGCATTTGGTGAGAAACTTGAATATTAAGAACTGGAAAATGTTTAGTTTTCAATCTTACATTACATATACAGTATTGGGCTGGGGATATTCTAGGCATGCAAAGTTGTTTTTAAACAACAGGGAAAACAATACACTAGGAAATTTAAGCATTAATTAATGTTGTAAAAATCAATTGATTAAACTTATAATTTTTCCTTCATATTGCGTGAATATATTGTAATGTATAATGAATTGTTATACACAGAAAGACACTTTTCAAACATTGTGTACTGACTTTTCACCAGAAATAGCAATAAGGAGAAGTTAAATCTCAAAAGGTGTGAAACTTTTGGTCTATTAAATTTTATAATGTGGTGCCAGAAAAAATTGAAAATCTAAAGTTACTTGACTGTAAATGTGTTTTATAAAATTGATGAGTTTTTAAGGAGTGATATGTTAATAAGTGGTCAATAAATGCTAACCTAATGTTAATTGAAGAAATAGTGATATTTAAAATAAGATTTAATAAAATATTTTTACAACAAAAATGTGATGATTTTAATGACAATTTCGATCTTTTTTAATTAAAAATATTATAAAATCTTGTATTCTGGTATCATTAAACTCTTACGATGGTATAGCACACAGTGTACTAGAATTTTTAATGTTTTGAAGAAACATTATATATTTAAAATTTAGTGATATTGCGATAATTTTTAAATAAAGAAACTTACGTTCCCCAAAGTT